GTTCAAAGAAGGGCAACAAAGCTGGTGAGGGATCTGGAGCACAGGTCATATGAGGAGTGGCTGAAGGAGCTGGGATTGTTCAGTCTGGAGGAGAGGAGACTCAGGGGAGACCTTAATCATTTCCATAACTACCTGAAGGGAGGTTGTAGTGGGCTGGGGGTTGGCCTCTCGTGTAATCAATAATGGGACTAGAGGCTTCAAGCTGTGCCAGGGGAGATTCAGGCTGGACGTTAGGAAATACTACTCTGAAAGAGTTGTCAGGCACTGGAATGGGCTGCCCAGGGAGGTGGTGAAGTCACAGATCCTGGAGGTGTTCAAGGAACGTTTGGTCATTTTGTTGAATGATATGGTTTAGTGAGAACTATTGGTGATGGGTGGATGGTTGGACTGGTCTTGTGGGTCTTTTCCAACCTTGGTGATTCTATCATTCTCTGATCGTTTCCCAAAGTCTGACTTTTCCTGTATGCTCAGCAGTGCCAGTTTCTATATAATACTTGACACTTCTATTAATGAAATAAGAGAAGGGTGTTGGTTTTTCTTTCCCCTTTCCCCTTTCCTTTTCTAAATTAAGCACCTTTACGTTTTATATTAGTCCTCTTATTCTCCATCTTTATTTTATCTAAGGTATTTTCACATTTCTTCTTTTCCACCTTCGTATTTCTTTCTCTTCATTTTCACAGTACATGTGTACTTCTCACTGTACTTCCCAATTCTTTCCTCAGAAACCTTTGCTTCTGTAGCTAGGGCTTGAGCACTCACTGTCGTGGTGTGTAAGGTATGGGGTAGGATGAGCCTGATGATGCTCTCTGTTGTGACTCTTAATCACAGAATCACAGAATCACCCGGGTTGGAAGGGACCTCAAGGATCATGTAGTTCCAACCCCCCTGCCTAGCAGGGCCACCAAACATACACATTCAGATCAGGTTGCCCAGGACCCCGTCCAACCTGGCCTTGAACACGTCCAAGGACGGGGCATCCACAACCTCCCTGGGCAGCCTGCAACCTCTTAAGGCTGACTTTCTGTTGTTGTAGAAAAATGATAGCACTGTGCCTTAAAACATCAGCAGAACTCATCTCAGGTTTGTAGTTAGTAACTTATATTTATAGATTGAAGTGTTTAGTTCAGTTAGTTATTGTTATCTGCAGTCATCCACTTTTTAAATGACTTTTCCAGGACATTGCTACTGATAGATTCTCTGCAATTAATCCAAAGAAAAGTGAACTCACTTTGAAAGAGCAAGAATCTGTTTCAATTCAGATGTTAGCGACTTGGTCTAGAATTCCCTCTGTTTGAGAGGAGCCACAGAGGTTGGCATGAAGGAGTATTTGAGAAGTTCCCCAGGCGCACCTCTTCTGTAGAGCATGTTGGATTGTGAAATTCTCTTTTGAGTCCTGACAAATATGTCCAGGAAAAGATGTTTCCGGCATTTACAGACTGCTTTATTGCTCTTAGCTTTTTTCTCAGTTGTTGCTTTCACATTTATCCTTTGTTCCTTTTAGCTGTCATCACCAGCATCTAAAGTTACTTCAAGTACAGCACAGAATAAACGTGTCTGGTTTGTACTGAAAATGGCATTTTTAGCCATGTTGTACATTTACTTTCTGCTTGATTCCACCTTTAAAGCGGAAATCATCTGGAAAGCCTTGTTGTATTTCAGGTACTGAATCCTCTGACTGATTTTGCTGTTGCCTTGTGCTCAGTAATTTCACACACGTGCACACCATTCAGTGTGTGTGGTAGCTCTTGTGGTGGGAATTATTACAATATTAATAATTTTTTTATTAAGCTTTTACAAGTTTTGTAGCTTCTTACAGTACTGACCTTGGAAAAGCATTCAGCTTATTTTGTCTCTTTGTACTAGAGCAGTCTGCAATGCTCTGCAGCATGTTTGTTTTTCAAAATGTGGCTGTGAACAGCTGCTGACAGAGCTGTCTCCTGCCAGAGTAGGCTGGTCTGCCCCTGTGCTTTACAGATTGATATTAAAAAACCCCAGTGACTGCTTTTCTCCCTTAGATTAAAATTAGGGTTAGGGAAAGATTCTGTTAAGAAACTGTTAAGATATGGTTTCTTTTAGTTCCTTTGAAAATCTTCTAAAAGACTCTACTAACAATGCACCCATAAAATTAATGGCAGAGGGAAAAAAAGGAAATTCTTTCAATTAGAATATTGTGAAAAACCATTATTTGTACCTGAGAATGGGGAAAGAATACATTTTCTGCAGAGAATGTGTTATTAAATAAGGCGATGTATTTGAAAAAGAGCAAGATATGAAGTATTTTTCTTGCATGTGGCTGAAAGTCCTGTCTGTTAGCATATGTTAAAAGTAGCAAAATAGGAATGTATAATATACTAAGAACTTCTTGGTAAATATAAGGGAAAGATGCAACCTTCCCTCTGTAATGTATCAAGTTGGTGCTCCAGTACATCAGCATGTATTTTCCATTTTTGCTGCTATTTTATTTGGTAATTATCATGTCATCCCATTTTAAATTGCAACACACAGGTTTGCTGGAAGCAGTTCTGTGACTTGTAGAGATTTAAGCATCATGAGTTTCCCCACATTTTCTGGCCTCTTTTTTTTTTCAGGAAGATCCACCTAATCATAATATTTCAGTCTAATGGACCAGCTTTGCTGATGTAAACTTAGTTGCCTTTGTTTAACATTACTTCATTTTGCCTACTGGGGTCTGTTTATATTGTATTTGGGCTGGACCTGAGAACCTGGAAGAAGTACAAAGGATAGATTAAAGGGGTGGAGGGAGATGGCTCTTTTTTGTTCCAGGGTGAAGTTGTAATTGTAAGCACACTGTGAGTAAGAGCAACTGCAGAGTAAAGAAGTTCTCTTCTGGAAAGCGGTGTCTCTAAGTGTGGAGACATAATCCTGCAGGTGGCTTAAGAAGAGACCCTAACGTGGGACTGGGATCAGCTGCAGTCACTCTGAAGCTCACGATAAGCAGCTGGATTCAAGTGCAGCTCTCAGCGGTATCCCCAGGGCCACAGCTACGCGCGAGCTTCTCATGGCATGGCTGGCTTAGGCAGCACTGATGCTTTCATTACACGTTTCCGGCAGTTGTGTTGGTCCAGGTGTCTAAGGGGATTTACGGTATGTTGGATTAGACATCCGTGTTATTCTTTTTCACTGGGTTATTTTTAAGGAGGATCAATTTCCTGAGCCGATTCACTGACCTGTCCCAGTTTAATGATACGGTGAGACAGCATGTGGAGGTGGCTTCCATGTTCTTGCTGTTTAACGTGGTTTTGCTGACAAAGATTTCTGTTTAACCACAGCTGAAGTGGTGTCTGATGTAAGAAGAGAAATTAAGAGATTATTGCACCACTTTACTCATCGGCACATCAGTGTGATGGGCAGGGAGATAAGTAGAGGCAGGATGATCTGTAAACACAAGATTACATGCAGCTTGGTGGAGTATGCGTCCTTTTCGTGTTCTCTTGATGAAAGTGGATCGTGGCACTGATCTAATACGAGCTTGAAGAGAAAGTGCAAAATTTGAAGGAAGATTGGAATAAGTTTCTGGATAGGAAGCCTGTAAACCAAAACGTTGAAGTTCATAGGTGGTGGCCTGAGTGCGAGCAGACCCACGTTATTAAAGCTCTGGAGAGAAGTGGTCCTCCATCATTGCTTCCCTCTCCTCTTCTGCTGGTGTGGTTTATGCAAACATGTTAGATACTGTGTCCCATCCTCACTCATGTTTTTAGTGTTATAATTTTTATCTGAGATTGTGTCATTGGAATGATGGCTTCCTTACTACCTAGTTTCTGTCGAATAATTTTTGAGCAACATTAATTGAGTTATTCTCACTTATCTTTAATTGTTCTTACAATAATTAATACTAAAATATCTGTATCCATATGGTATGTTTTAAATGTATTTCCTTGGGAGGAATGCAGAGCACATTGGGTAACATTTGCTTATTTTAGAAGCTGGGGAGGACTGTTCAGAATGTAGTCCAAGCTCCTCTGAGATTTCATTCACAGTTTTCTGAATGCATTGCAAAACTGATGCTTGAAGTAAGGTGCATTTTTTTTCAGACACCATTCAAATTCAATCTATGAAAAATCTTCTGTCTCCTTTAATAACTCATTACATCAATTATGTTGCCTTCCCTGCTTCTATAGGTGCATTGGAGTCACAAAATAGAGCTTTTTATTTAGGATGCTGGTTGTTTTTCTTTACTTGCACTAGTGATTGTGTGTGATTCACTATGTTGGTATTGTTTGAAGTGAAAACAAAAGTGTCAGTTTTACGTAGCCTCTGTACATGTTTTGTTGTTTTTTTTTTTTCCTTAGGTATACAAACAAACATTTTAGGCCTGGATTTCAAATTTGTGTTTCAAATTTTGTGATGTATGTATATTTTTAATATAGTTATTTAAGGTATACAGTATTGTCCTCCTCCCTGCACACCAATAGAGAACATATTCTGTTACAGGGAACTACTTATTTGTAGTCACTGTATCTGATTTGTATTTTTCCCTGGGACAGTGGAGGATTAGAGCAGATTATAGTGTTGGAATAATGTCCGACTCCTTGTGTTCCATTTAGTCATAAATAAACCCCTGAAAAATCGGAATGTTGCTATGGTGATGTTAGTAAAAGCCTGGGGTATGGAGTAGTGAGCCGCTTAGAAGCATAATGTCACTTACGGTAATGAGCGCGCTGTGGCTCTAACAGCAACGAGTTTACCTGAATGCTCTGTAACTTCTGTAGCCTGTGACAGGTTCTGAAAGCAGATGTGCAAATTCAGTTCACCTGATTATAGTCTGTTTATTTTCTTCTTAACAAATGGAAAATTATGTTTTGTCTGTTCACTTCCCAGCTTTTGTTCTGTTTTGTGGTATTACAGAGAAACAAGCAAAGATTTCCACTCTTCGTATGCTTTGCATGATGCTTTGATTGAATTAAAACCATAATGGTTCATAACATTTTTGTTACAAACTGTGTAAACACTGGTTGTTCTTGTGTTTTTATTTCTTTTAGTCTTTATAACCTGGCTTCACTGGAACTTAGAGAGAATTTGCTGACATATTTACCCGAGTAAGTGACATTTCAAATGTTTGATTGTTTTAGTGTAAAATGTTCTGATTATAAACATGCTGGCATCTGAAACAGAATGACAACTAGAAACAAATATCCAGTTTCATGTTGATAAGCGTTATGAGATGCAGCTTTGTTTTAACAACACCTGCTTACATCCATTTTTTGTAGATATAACTGGTTAGCTGCTGGAGTTTATGGTCTCTTTAGTTCTTTTTTTTTTTTTTTTTTCTTTTTTTCTCCTGGGCATTCTATTCTGTATAAAATGTATTAGTGTCAGATATTTCTTCCTGCATTAACTAAGCTAAGCTTTGTATCAGCAGTGGGAGTGGTAGTTTGGATTACCCTTGTGCTGAATTTTCCTGTTTTCAGGAAGGACAGTGGGATCTCATAGTTTTTGGCTCTGAATTGGTAGATGTATCTTCATGAAATTAATATTAATATTCATGTTAGGTACTTAAGTGAACAAAAGCTTCAAAAATCTGGAGATCAAGTCCTTTATATAAATCCAGGTCTATTGATGGCTGAATTCTGCCCCACTCTTCCCCCAGTGGTTTGTTGTGGGACACAAAAATGGGATGTTTTTATACTGTGTGTATTGTGGCTGAGTAGTCTGTGTTTTTTTTGTACGATTATTCAGTTATCTTACAATCTGGTGGTCCCTTTTGGTTGCTTGGAAGCAGCTGTTTCTGTCTGTAATGGAGTAGTTTCTTTTCTTCACTACCTATTCCCCAGTTATGTTTGGATCCTTTTTTCCTGTCAGTCTACCCTATACCTCTGTTGCTGTGCTTTATAGCTGTGAGCTACAGGGAACTTGAAATGTCAGCGATCAGAAGTTATGAACTGCTAGCTAGGTTTCTCCATTCAGTGTCAGACAGAAGCTATTGTAGATGTTGACAATTTTATTGCTACTGGAAAATCTGGAGTGTCAGTAATGTAACTGACAAGTCTCTGGTTTTTGTGTTACTGCAGCTTTGGGAAAGGTGGGCAAAAGTTCTACAGTAGACTGCCTTTGAAGTAGGAAGTTAATGCATTGTATCACTGTCAGAGAACTTCTTAAATCCCTTTGGGATTTTGCTTCTTTGCATCCTCAAATCCATCCCAAAATTCTACAGAAATTGATAGGTCAGGTTGACAAGACAAATGATGAATTTAGTGAGTCTTGATTAGCACTGTTTTAGGTACTGTCATGTGTGACCACAACGTGGAATTTTTATTCACTTACGTAACAGTAAATGGCCCCTGAAATAAATCTAACCAACTATACTGAACTATGTGGCATTGTCCACCCCACAGACTGATGGTTAAAATCAAGGATAATAGTCTGATTCTAAGTTTTATGTTTCAAGATCATACAATTATACTGACAAACCAAATTATTTTTTTCAGTAAGATATTGCTGTAGGAAGTCTATGCCCAGTAAAATTAACTGTCTGCAATAGGTAGTAATTTGAAATACAAGTTTCAGTAAAATGAGCTCATTCAAATACATTTGGTTTCTGTTGGTTTAGTCTGATGTGGTTTTGTTTTGACTTATCTCACAGATCACTTGCCCAGCTGCAGCGTCTAGAAGAACTTGATTTAGGAAACAATGAACTTTATCACTTGGTAAGAGAATATGCCACTAAAAGTCCACATTGGTCTTGTTTCACACATAATTAATTTAAATAGGCCATGTGATATTCAAAATTGAAGAAAAAAAAATACATGGAAGAGAAAGTCTTTTTATATGTGCAGATACATTTTGGCAGTGAGTTAGAGCTTCCCATATCTGCTTCATCTTGTTCAGTGCAGTATTATCTTGCCTGAAAAACTTCTGCAGCTCTTCTCCAGAGAATTAGAGTATTTCACAAGCACTTTCTATGGAAAAAATGAAAGAGTGGAAGGTCACAAGCTTAGAACTAACAGTCCGATTGACCACACGAGCATTTGTTGAAAACTGGAAGGGGTGAGCTCAGATGCATGCTCAACTGTATTTTCAGATTGGAATTGGGAATCTTTGGGATAATGCTGAAGCAAACTTTAGAGTTGCAATGTCTTTAATTGTGGCAGACAGGTACACCAGGAGGTATGTAATCTTCATTAAGCTGGCTCAGTGGAATCTTGGATTTGCAGTAGATGAAGAGGATGCATGCAATTTGATAATTCTGTGTCAACTGAAGTCTAGGATATTAAATAATTAGTTTGTAGGATGGAATTCCCAAATGGTGACAGTCACTCTTGCTGCATTTGGCTGTGGTACCTCTAAGTAATGCTGGTAGTAAGAATTGCTTTACTCAAATAGTTATTATGGGATGGCCGTTTATTTATATGTCTCGTGTTACTTGACATTACCTTTTATGTTACAGCCAGAAACAATTGGTGCACTTTTCAATCTTAAAGACCTCTGGTTGGATGGAAACCAATTAGCTGAAATACCTCAGGTAAGAATGGGTTCTAGTGATACTGTATGGAAAGCACTTTTAAAGGAAAACCTTTTCATTATTATCTAAAAGGAGACAATCTAAATTTGGCTTGTTTTCTCATTTCGCTTTGCATGGGTTTGGCTTTGGATGTTTAAGATTTGTAATAATTTCCTTTTTAAGGGATTATATGTTATCAAGTATAATCGTGTATGCTGTCAAACACTTTGTTTTAAACTTTTTGTTAAAGGAGTTGTTAGCTAATAGACACGTTGTTTGGTTTGTAGGATGACATACTCTTTATGATCTTGGTGCGATGATCAGGGAACCACTAACTGGCTGCTCCAATCCTCTCCTTTTATACCTATCTAAGTCACAGTTTTGACAGTTTTGAGAATGAATCACTGTTTTCGGCTGTCATCTTCCACGTAGATGCATTGTTTGGTAGTAGAACAATGGTGAAACTGTTGGCGTGAAGGGAAACTTCGATCTATGGAGGCAAATCCCTCATCTGACATCAGTGATGGAAGAGAGACCTTAGCATTTAAAGCTTACAGCACTCTAAATTCCCTTCCTTAAGTACAACTATAATGTGTGGGTGGGTTTCTTTTCCTTCTTTTTCATTTAGAGCCAAGTTAAAACCTGCTTTCCTGTGTTCCTTTTTCAGCTTGTGGTCATTTGCTGTATTGATTTCACTGTCAACAATGTAACTTGGAAATTGGTCACATTTTAGTGGACTTTGTTGACTTGGTTGCTGGCTTGCCTAATTATTTTTTAAGTATATCTATTTAAACACTGATAATCATTCATAAAAGGTCAAAACTGACTTCAGCAGCTGTTTTTGTTGAAGCTGGCCGTAACTGTGTGTTTTGTTTGATGTCTGAAGGATGAACTTGTAGGATAAAAGCTGTGTGTTCAGTGAAAGATTGTCTTGAGAGGCAAACGTTTTCTAAAAAGAAAAAAAAAAGCCATCCTGTGAGTTAGAGTCAGGGCTGTCTATGTATGAAAATATAGTATTTGTGAAAGTAAAGGACAACTCCCTTCTTGCTCCCAAAGATCATTTAAATGACTGAAGTGTGAACTACTGTAGAACATGTGTAGGGGTGTATGTGCACATGGGGAATGGGAGGGTTGCTCTTAATAGGGAGAAAGGTATTTCTCTGTCAGACTTTTAAGCTGATTGTCAGATTACCATTGTAAAAATTAAGTAATCATAATTGTAGGTGATGGCAGTACAACTTGGCACTTCAAAGATGCTTGCTAGAGCAACACTCCCAATTCCGATTTCTTCATTTGTTGCAGCTGGGAGATGTGAAGATAGAAATCCCTGGATGTCATGGCATGTTGCTGTATTGGACAGGAGAGACTAATCCTAATTTGCCTAAGGTTAATTGGGAGGGGCAGACATTAATTATGTGAAGGTTGATAATCAGTTCTGAAAAAACAGCTTTTTGTTCTTTCCTGGAGTTTTTTTTTTTACTCAGTTTTGGTTGGTGCTTGCCTAGGTATGCTCAGTGTAGCTTGTGAGGCTACTAAAGCCAGTTGTGATATGTAGAACAAGAAACTGCAACTTGATTGGTTTACCATGCAAAATTTACTTACATATTTCTTTCAACATTTAGAGGTCATACAAAGAGTTGCTTTTCTTTCTGGAATTTCATTGTGGTAGCACATTTTTCAAATTGCTTTGTGACATGTTGGAGCGTGACTAAAATATCACTTTGTGTTGCAGGAAGTAGGAAACCTGAAAAACCTGCTTTGTCTGGATGTTTCTGAAAATAAATTGGAATGCCTTCCCGAAGAAATTAATGGTCTGACTTCTTTAACAGACTTGCTTGTTTCTCAGAATTTACTTCAAGTCTTACCTGATGGCATTGGTAAATATAGGATGAATGTTATCATTCAGAACTGTTTAATCCTCTGTATACTGGAAGTTGTTTATTTTCATGTCTTGTGTAGTCTTCTCTTTTTGTGTAAGAGATTAGCTTGTCTTAGCTTTTTTTTTTTTTTTGCTTAGTATGAAATACATAACTATTAATTTAGCATTTTAATTGTCTACATAATGACTATCTCTTAATTATTCTTTGGCCTGCACTTGGTACTTAATAAAACAAAATAAAAGTTAGTATACCCTCACTGTTCCTACTGTATGTAAGTCATGGTCAAAACACTTCAACATTGTAAAATTCTAGCTTGTAACATACTGTAAGTCACTTGAAAAGATTGGCTGATGGTATTGTTACAAAAAAATGCCCTCCTCTTTAATGAGGATGTGTAATTATCTTGAGCTGGACAACGTGGTTAATCCTGTATGGGATCTGGTGGGAGACTTCCAGTTTCAGCCTTCACCCCTGTGGACCCAAACTACAGCCTTTCTGGTTTGTGACACTTGAGAAACAGTTTAGAAATTTCCTTTCTAAAGTAAATATCTTTGCTTCTGAAGTAACTAGTGAGACATTATTTCTTTACTACTCATCAGCTATTTTTCCAGAATTTTTCTTGATGCAAGAGTGTGCTTTTCCTTCCTTTTTCAATCCTGTAGCAGAGAAAGAATTTAAATAAGAAAGTGGAAGAGAATGGACAGACATCCCCACTCTCTCCATATGCTATGTGAGCCTGAGAAAAGATAAATATTTCTTTAAAACTTAAATTTCAGGGGTGTGGGCTGAATCCTGTCCTACAAATGAATAGTGTGTGTTTGGTAGAGCTGTAGCAGCCCTTTCTTATGGTGTGAGCTAGCCAGTACAGTGTTGTACATCGTAAGTGATGTATCATCTTTTGGAAGGGTATAGATCATGCAGATCATGCAGATTGCAAGAGGAAAGTTTGTCTGTAACACCAGCTGCTAAACAAGAGGAGCTGCCTATTCTTAAAAATCCTGATAAATAGAGATCCATTGCTAGGGAAGATGATTGTGAAGGGCCAGGCCATTGCATGTGCTTTGTATCATTTTCTCTGCGTGCTTTTGTCATAAATACAGAAATGCTCCAGCACCCCTGGGCTGCCTGTTTCAGTGCAGCACTACCTCCAAGTGAGGAAACTTCTCTTGATGTCTCACTAAGGCCTTCCGCACTTGAATTTGTGTCCATTTCTGTTTTACCAGCACTGCAGAGAAGTGTTTGGCTCTGTCATCTCTGTTGCTGTTTTTTACGTAGTTGTGGGCTCTTCTTTGGTGCCTCTTTGGCTGCCTTTCTGTTGGAGCAGACAAGAAAGGCCAGCTCCTTCAGCCTCAGCTCATATGTATCCCAGCTCTCTAAACAGCTTTGTGCTGGACCTCCACTGCCTTCTACCCATTTCTTTTGAATTAGCAGGGGCTTGGGACACGAAACTGAGCATGCTTTTACAGATGTGGCCTCACCAGTGTCCAGTAGATGAAACATAGCAACTTAATTTATCTGCTGAATGAAATTTCCCAAATTTAACCTATTTAATTTACATCTGGTGACAACTCACTGCTAATCCATATTCAATCTGGTGTCCACTGTGATCCTGAGGTCCTTCCTAGCAGGGCTCCTATGTAGCCAGGCTCACTTTCCAGGCTATACAGGTGCGCAAGGTTATTCCGTCCAGGTACAGAGCTCTGTGACCACCTGAACTGCAAGTTTCTGTTTAGGGGGCTGCCTTTCCATGCATCTGCCACGGCTTCAGTAATTTAGCATCATCATCAAGTTTGATGTACCAATCTGCTGGAACTATTCTGGGCAATCTGGGGATGGAGATGAAGGTGTCATCAACTAGTGCTGTCTCCTGAATTCTCTGTCCTGGGCTCTACATAGGTCAGCTCTAGTTTACACAGATCATAAAAAAACTATTGCAGTATAAAATAGCTTTCTGAGGAGAAGATCTCCAGAAAAGATTGTCGCTATTCTGAAAAATAAACTTGATTTCCATGCCTGACTGACTGGGCTGTATATTAGGACAAAGAGGCCTTTATTGCATTTGGGATTAGGCTGTCGCTTTTATGTAAACCTTCTTACCATGACTGAATACACATAGGTGCTCAATGTTAATAAACATTGAATAACATAGGGAAAAAAACCACTTTTTTCTCCCGTATATAGGTTTTCCAACAGACACTTAGTTTTCTGTTCTTGACTTGAGATGGAGCAATACTCAGATTGCAATTTTAATACAGTTTAATATACTGAAATGTGATTATTATATCATTGACTTTACAGTCAGTTTAAATAAACTTGCAAAAAATGTTGCAAAGGCCAAGTGGAGCAGTACCTAACTTCTTTATTATGCTACCTGAAGGAGAGCATTTAATTGTGTTGGAGAATTTCTAAAAGTTTTTCACCGGGATGATTCTCTATAATTAAAGCAAAGTTACTAAGCCAAACAAATGTATTTTTCCTCTGCCTAGGAAAATTGAGGAAGCTGTCAATTTTGAAGGTTGATCAGAACAAACTTATTCAGCTAACAGATTCAATTGGAGACTGTGAAAGCCTTACTGAACTAGTTCTAACAGAAAATCAGCTGCAGGTAAGTGTGGTCTTGATTGCTCAAATGACTAGCAGTAAAAAGGCTTGTTGGGAAGTGTTGATTCACTTAGCTTGTAAGACTACTCGCCATCCCTACTTGCTAAGTAGCATGCTTTCTTTAAATGCGTTTTATTTCTAACCTGTTAAATGGGTGCTGAAGATCAAGTTGTGCATAGTAAAAATTCTCTCTTCTGAAGATCTAAGCAGTTACATACATTCACTCTTGAATCTTTCATGATTACTAAGGGAACTGGAGCACCTGGGGTGCAGGTATCATTTACATTGTTGTGTTTTTAATGTAGAGGTTGTGCTGCGTTGTGTTTTTGCCAATTTTTGTTTTGCATTATGTGAATCAGGCTTGTTGGAACTGAATAAAAGCTCCAACTGATGCAGAGCTACTGTCATACTGTTTCTTGCTCTGCTGATCTGCTTCAGCAAGGTACTAAATACGATATGTAGTCAATTAAAATAAAATTCCGGACTCCCTCCCACCAGGTGTTTTCTTCTCTTTCTTCAAAACTGTGTTCACATGATGTTGACATTTGAAATTGAAAGTGGAAAAGTTTGTAAAAATCAAACTTAGAGCATTTCTAAAGTTAGACTTATACATGATAGGAGCTTATGTCTTTTGGAAAGAGGTCAGTTCATAGCACCTGGCTGAGAGACTTACCTCTCAGTTAGCTATCTAGGGAGCTTCCTCTTAAGTACTATGGTACTACTTCTGTATACGTGCTTCTCTTTGCAGCTGTCATCTATCTGCCATCTTAGGGCAGAGATAACTCATGAGTGAATTAGTGTTAGGAACTGAAATTCTTAGATGTTTCTTCTGCAAAATAAAACCTTGGAACTCCTTCAGAAGGCATGGTAATAACCAGGAATAACTGCATACTCATTTTGAAAATGGATCAGTCTCTTAATTCGTTTTTAAATTGAGATAAGTTTTGTTCTGTCTTTTTGTGTTTACAGAATTAATTTGCATATTTCTTTGTTTCTGTTGGCACAGATACTACCGAAGAGCATTGGAAAACTGAAGAAGCTGAACAATTTGAATGCCGATAGAAACAAATTAACATCTTTGCCCAAAGAGGTAAATCTTGTGCAATTAACTTCAATAGATGTGATTATATAAACAGAAAATTCTAATTTCGTGTTCCTCAAAGTAGTAACAGATGGCTTTGATCCACTGGATGTTCTTCCCAAAAAGGTTGCTACCAGAAATGTGCCCATTAGATCTCAAGAGATTAAATCTGAGCAACATATGTGTTGGTTTGGTAGCTTGGAAGTGCAAAATGTGTTTGTAGTCTTATAAGACACGCATCTAATCAACTTGTGACTAGTTATTCTCAATGTGGATGTCAGGTCAAGCACTGTTTGAAAACTGAAAGTTCTGTTTAAGTGAATGCATTTTAAACATAGGCTTCTTCTATAGGTAGTATAAAAAAGTTCTGCCAGCAATCTTTCTAGACTCAGTCTTGTGAGCAAGACTGAAAAGAGGATTTTCATATTATGAAAAAATATTGTTTTGACTGTCTTCTTAATTCTGAAGATCTCAGACTACTTTTAATATGAGGAACTGAAGTGACCAGGATCTATGATATCTGAAACTTTTCAGCTATGCTCTCTGGGACTTCTACACAGAATCACAGAATGACTGAGGCTGACAGGGATCTCTGAGTCCAGCTGGACCAACCCCTACTCAAGCAGGGACACGCAGAGTAAGGTGCCCAGGACTCTACTTCTGGCTTCTGAAGATCTCCAAGCATGAGATTCCACATCCTCTGGGCAGCCTATGCTAGTGTTTGATCACTCTCCCAGTAAAGAAGTGCTCCCTGAAGTGCTTTTTGTGTATTATAACAATATAAGGAGTGAACAAGGGTAGAATTTCTGGTGTGAAGCTAAATATAATGGTGGCCTTACAAGTTTAAGTTTTGGAAAGAGATCAGATCAATATTTGTGCTGCATCCTCTTTTCTCATTTACTTGTGATTGGTTAAAGCATGTGACTGAGAACTAATTCTGTTTGCATTGCTATTTCTCTTACTTTTGCCCAAGAGATTCTCCAATGGCCAATGGAGAATGAGCTTCAATGGGTTGGTTGCAGGAAACAGGCTCCCTTGTTACTTTCTGGTTTGGTTTGAAAGTGTGCATTTGATGAGGTAGGAAAGAGAAAGACAGGAGTACTGCAGCTTGTCTGGCAGGACAGTGACTCCTGCATTGAGGTACCACTAGTGCTAAAGAGGAAATTATCAAGGGTGTACCCAGATGAATTGCATAAATGCAAGCAAGAGACAGGATCTTGGGAAAACTATTTTGGAGTTGGGATGTAATGACAGTGTGATCTTGTGCTCATTCAGCAAAAAACTTTCCATGTCTTTACAAAGAACTTAATGCATTTCATGAGTGTCCTAAGCAATCTGTGCTTGAGGCTTGTATAATTATGTCTAGTTTAGCTTTAAACTAGCCTATAGTGTTATAGCGTGGAAGGTTTTACGATGCATGTTCCATTAATAGTTTATGTAGTGTATAGAAACTTTTCTTGGTTAGTTTTGTCATAGAATCATAGAATGGTTTGGGTTGGAAGGGACCTTTAAGATTATCTAGTTCCAACCCCTGTGCTAGGCAGGACACCTCCCTGTAGACCAGGTTGCTCAAAGCCCCATCCAGCCTGGCCTTGAGTGCCTCCAGGGCATCCACAGCCTCAGTGGGCAACCTGTTCCAGTATCTCACCACCCTTATAGTAAAGAATTTCTTCCTGCTATCTAGTCTAAATCTACCCTCTTCCAGTTTAAAGCCATTTCCCCTCATTCTGTCACTACCTGCCTTTATAAAAAGTCTCTCCTTAGCTTTCCTGTAGGTCCCAGGTCTCAGGTACTGGAAAGAGGGGACTGTACCATGTCAATGGAATTGGAAAGAGGAGAGTCTTCCATATAATATGTGTGTATTTAAGGCAAGCTGATTAAATGTGGAGTGCCTGGACTGCGAAAGCATCGCAGGAAAATCAATGTATCCTCTGTTTGCCATTTCAGGGGCAGTAACTTATTACCCTGTGAGGGATAACCTGTAAGATAAATTTGGCTGTGTTTGCTGGGACTTGGAGATGGTGCAATGGGGCCTTTTGCAAGGTGTATGAGGGCAACAAATGTGGCTTGGAAGGATCAGGGGAAAGCGTAAGAGCAGAATATTTGGATAAATATGGGATACATTTGCCTGGATGGGATAACAGAACTGAGGTCTTGGCCATAGGAAAAGAAGTTACGGATGCTGAACAGGAAATAGAGAATTGAAGGGCAGAGGGAGAAAGCTTTGCCTGACTAGTGAAGGAGTTGGGGACATCGAAGGGTGAAGTGAGGAACAAGAGTGTGTGTGAAGGTCATTACTGCATGTAATTTTCAGCACTGGACGGAAAGGGGAGTGGGATGGCCTAAAGTAAGGGGCAAGTTTGTGTTTGAGCAAGATGAGTGGTGAGAAAATGAGAAGCGGTCTCTGGAATGAGAGGAGCTAAGGATTTGTAGGAAATCCTTGAAATAAAAATGGGAGAGCATGTTTTACAGGAAACTTGGCAGAGAAACAGAGGAAACAGCTCCTTAGCATCCACTTCTTTGAAATAAATCTATTTTCCGTAAAGGTCTCCGCACCTAAATATCTTTCTCATTTGAGTAAACACTTTCACATTCTGTTTCATGTGACTTCATACTTTCTCCTCAAAATCTTCAGATTGCCTTCTGAAAAAGTTTCATAGCTCTAAAAAACAACTGTGTAAATAGAGCACACAGGTGTAGCAAGTGCTGTTTGCTGTTATGCAAAGCATCCACAGGAGTGGATGGGGGTGGGGGGGCACTGATAACAGCAAAGATGCCAATGATCAGTTTCCCTGTGGTTGGCAGGGAGAAATGATTTGGTGTTGTGGTGGAATGTTCAATGTTCTTTTTACACTTCTTTTGTTACTGACTTGGAAAAAAAAAAAAGGAAAAAGCAAAATGTATTAAATGAACTCCTGTGCTCTGCTAGACCAGCTGTGCAGTCAGGATCTTCATCCCTGTTAGAAATGGGTTTGGAACATATATTAATGAATTTCTGTTAAAGATACAGTCTTGTAAAATGCAATGTGGGGCTTTGTGCTATGGAGAAGAACACATGCAACAGGTAAGTTTACCCACTGGTATCTTTATTGTTCACTACAAAGTAGTGAACATTTTTTATACATGCATGCACACATATGTATGTATATAATGGCAGAAATTGTATGCCTGCTATGATATTCTTATATAACCTAGTGAGATAATGTATGAATTTCAGCTTTTTTGTTCATTTGCTTGGGTTTTGTTGTTGTAGTTGCTAGCAGTTTAATTGGATTGGATTTGGGTCAGCCTGACAAGCCATTACTCTGCCGGACTGTTTCTGTGCACACTTGTAATCACTCTCTGCTTTTTGGTGTAAGATTTCTTGACTTCAGAATATTGAGGAATTTTCATTCAATAGCCCTTCAAAGTTTCCTGATTCAAGGATTGTTCTGTATCTGGTGTGGATATATAAGATAAAATGTGAAACAGCTGAATGCCTGACAAAGGCTTGAGTCACTGTCAGATTTCATCTTCAGTATCTCATCTTGCAGCTTGATTGCTCTCAGTGAACTGAGTGCTGCAGCAGACTTCAGCAAGAACTGAGTTTGTCTAAACCTGTTTGTAGTTACAAATGTTTTTCCCCTGAAACCTGAAAGACCTGCCTGGTGACTCTTTCATATTGAAATCCCACCCTGGCACTGAAATGCTGGTGAAACTGGAGTGTTGATTTTGGCACTTACATAAATAATCTCCTTGGAATGTTTTCCAGTTCATGTGCTTTCGTTAATGAGTCTCTACAACTTGCAGAGATCTGGTAATGTGTCTTCCTAGCTCTGAGGTGTATTATGGCTGAGAATTATTGCTACGGTAAATGAAACTGTAATTGTTTTTGGGGGCAGTAACTGCTCTTTTTACATTTTAGTTAGGTGGTTTTTTTTTTGTTGTTTTTTTTTTTTTTTTATGTTTAGGGCTGCTTTTTTGTTTCTGGCTTTGACTTCCTATGTCCTTTCCCTGGTTTTTGTAGAAGTATGTTTGTATCTCACAAAGGGGAAAAAGACGCTGAGGAAAAATGTAGGAAAACTTGGCTTGAGTCACATGACAGAGAGAAGCTTTGTTGCCATGTTCCTCTCATACTATTCACTGGTGGTGCAGGGGATGTTAAAGTGAGTTTGCAGAAAATTCTCCTAACCAGTGTGAAGTTAGGAATAGCTGCTAGTGTTATTTGTGAATTATGCAATTTCTTGCACCTCTAAACTTGCTGTGCTTACAATTAAAGAATTAATCCTTCTACTCTGTAGCCAAGGAAAATTCTGTTTTTATTTGCTCTGAGTTCAATCAGGGTTTTGGTTTGTGACACCCTGAAAAAGGCTTTACAACAAAGATAAATTAGAGTATACAACTCTTAAATTAGAGTTGTATAAGCTTATTGAGAGTTCTTGATACTGACAGCTATCCTAAAAGCTAAGCAAAAGAAATGGCCAAGAAAACATGGGGGTTGGACTCGATGATCCCTGGAGGTCCCTTCCAACCCCTACAATTCTGTGATTCTGTGAAAAGAGATGAACCTCAAGTGGGCACATACTAAAGAGTAATCATAATATTTATAACAATATTGTATTTTCTTGCATTTCTTATGCCTATGTGAAAGATGCTAACTGTTAAAGGACTGTTAAAGGACAGTGAAATTGGTTCATAACTTTTGGGCAGTTAGCGGATGCTGAGATCAAAAGACATCTATTCAACTAAAGTAATTTTCAGGTCCCACCTCTAATTTGTGATTTGGTTTTAGAGTGCTAATGAGAATATGTCACAGTCACTGAGAATTGATCAGGGATGATGAGTGGCTGTAACTGTTTAGCTGAGCTCAAGAGAGAGAAGGAAAGTAAGTTTTTGGGAGGGATCTAAAAGGCAAGAGAGGATTGAATCTCTTCATGGGTTCATCTACAGAAAGCTATAACTTGAATGCAGAGATGTCAACAATAAGAAAAAACAGATGACAGTCTCAAGGTTATTGTTACAGAAAAGTGCAACAGAAGTCAGATGATCAAAAAATATTAATCTGATGGGAATGTGAAAACAGCAGCCACCATGCAGTAGAGGAGTTGTCAGCAGCACCAGAAGAGAAGTCAAGTACTAAGGTGTAACAATTCCAGAGGACTGTTAAATTGCTACTGAGTATGTGGATGTCAAGAAAGTGGAAGACTGAAGTGGTGAACACTAACTGTGATGAGAATGTGGAGGGGAGTTTTAGCAGGATGAGTTGACGTGTTCTTTGTGTATGTCCAAGGTCTTAATGTTTCTCCAGAAAAAGGAAGCTGAACATCAAAGTGAGACAGAAGAGCACCACCTCCAGTTTTGTGTGAAACCTAAAGAAATCTTAGTGGCACCCATAGTTTTAGAAAGCCATCCGGATTCAGATAAGCGTAAAAAAAATCATAGAATCTTAGAATTGCTCAGTTTGGAAAAGACCTTAAAGATCATCGAGTCCAACCACAACCTAACCGTACTACCCTAACTCTAACAACCCTCCACTAAATCGTGTCCTTGAGCACCACATCCAAATGGTTTTTAAACACATCCAGGGATGGTGACTCAACCACCTCCCCGGGGAGCCTATTCCAGTGCATAAGAACCCTTTCTGTAAAGAAGTTTTTCCTGATATCCAACCTAAACTTCCCTTGGCACAACTTGAGGCCATTTCCCCTCATCCTGTCACCTGTCACCAGTGAGAAGAGACCAACCCCACTCTCACTGTAAGCACCTTTCAGGTATTGGAAGAGAGCAATAAGGTCTCCTCTCATCCTCCTCCAGACTGAACAGCCCCAGTTCCTTCAGTTGCTCCTCGTAGGTTTTGCTCAGGCTTTGCTGTACTGTAAAATCAATTATCTCAGAGTTAGCCCTTTGTATTAACAATCATTTTCTATCTTAGATTCAGTCTGACTGAAGTTTTCATTGTTCTTTGTTTTTAGCCTGAGCTGACTGTTCTCTGAAGGTGGTGGGGTAGGAGAAGTGAATAACTCTTTCTGAAGTGGCTAGAGTGAAGTAATGCTGTGATCAGTTGTATATGACTTAAACACACACAACCCTGTAGAGGTGTTTTCCTTGTACCTAGTTCACTACTGAAGAATGTGAGGGCTTGGTGAAGCCTCCAGACTTTAGAATAGTTATTTGTGTGCCTAGAATAAAGCACATTATGTCCATTAAGTGAAGTCTTGCGCTCAAAATGAACTATGTGCTTAACTGTTAAATGGGCTTGTGGTCCAAACTGTGTACTTGGTGCCTCTGTCATGGTTTGGCAAGGTCTTTTGTAAGCATGTGATGAAAACCAGGGTAAGCATGAGCAGAGCGCGCCTGGTTCTTTGTCCATTAATGACTTTCGGCCAAACCAACAAAGCTCCCTGTACTGTATTACTTCATTGTGGTCAAAGCGATGCTTTCCCTTCAGCATGCCGGTGTGTGCCCTGTGCCTCAGTGACCACACTTTGTGTTTAGACTTCTTCAAATGTTGGATTTGATGTCTTTCTGTACTGCCGGATGAGTGCAGTCTTTATGAAATGAAGGTGATTTTTTAATTTAACTGTTGGCTTGTCTTTTTTCTCTGTGATATCTCACCTGATGCTAACTGCTTGTTAGGTGCTGCCTGTGTTTTTGAAAGTTTCATGAAAAGATTTCTGTATCTGTCTGTTATCTCCCCTCAGCTGCCCTCTTCAGGAAAAAAAAAAAAACAAAAAAAGTCTTCACTACCTCTGGGTGAAACAGACTTTGAACAACTATCTGTTAACTGATAGCCCAAAGTTAAAGTAGCTGAAGACAGCAGCAGCTTCCAAGTTCTAACCCTTTTTAGAGTTGAAGAATGTATATTCTGTCTCCATTTGTTAGCATGCTCTTGTCCAGTATGGATAAAGAAAAATAAATTGAACATCTTTTGTATTTTCTTAATTGTTAGCCGCTTGGAAAATTATGGGTCAGGTAAATTGATAACCCTGTAAGTATTATTCAGTCCACAGTTCTACTGTTACCTTTCATTAAACTGCTTTAAATGCATGATGTCTTGGGCTGGCTGGTTCCACTGCTGCATTTTTCCATTGTCACAAGTAGAGAAGTGCCAATCTCATCAGGGCTGCATGGCTTCCTTTGTTTGTTTGCCTAAACTGTATGGATCTTCATGCTCTAAGACTGAATAATGCAAACTTCATTCTTAGTAAAGCAAACACTGTCTACAGTTAGGGCATCACTTGCCAGCTCATCAACATTCACTGAATTGTATCTCTTGCTTTTCATGGCTCCTTGTGTGAGATAAACTAATTAGACAGCATATATACTGTTTTTTTTTTTAATGTATGGCGCTCCATATTCTGTGAATGCATCAAGGCACATTATTTGAGAATCTATAGTTGATAAACAGGAGTTTTGTACAAAAAAGGTTTGCGTGTGATTTGAGCATTGGTTTCTAAGGGCTTTGATTCACAAGCTAAAATAGCTAACAGGATTGCTGCTCCTAATGTACGTATGGACGCTGAAAGGCTGGTCCTCTTGTGAGGACTGCATCATAGCTGCATCATAGGTGGCAGTGATTTAAGGGAAACCAACACAGATTTTGTTTTGTCAACAGAATATTGTGCTGTAACTTTGCACAGTAAGCAGCTTGTGAATCAGAAGCCATGAGCAGCTCATGGCTGCCTTCTTCCATTAAAATGTACTTGAAATATAGAGGAAGTTGAGTGGGGTATGAATGCTCATTTTGTTTGTCTTCGAACTCATGGTGGCACCCTTTCTAAAATGCATTTTTTTGCTTGGTAAATAACACAGGTTAAATTGAAATTATTTTTACTTTGTCTACTGCAAAAGCTTTTGTGATATGTCTGTAATCTAAAACTTTGTTTTGGAACTGAGTTGTGGATTTTGCAGAGTCAGAACTGACAGTTAACAAGAATATATAGACAATCCTAGCCCAGAATTGGTTACTTGAGACCAAGGTTAAATGAGGTGTTGCCTGCACTGTAAGAAAAGAACCTTCTTACATGTATGTTACTATAGAAGTCACTAATTTTTCAAATGAGGTTTTCTAGTATGTTTGCTGTCTATACTTCAGATCGAAGTCTGCTTAACTAGAAAGCTTCAAACAGCTTTCAATATTTTGATGGTGATATTTGGAATAAGGGAAGAAATCGCTTTTTTGTTGTTGTTGTTTTTTTTTCTTTTTTCCTGCTCATGAATTTTGTAACTGAGAAATAAGCTGTAGAGCTTTTTGAGGCTATGTAAGATAAGCAAATAAAGGTAGGTTTTTCTTTGTGACTAGAAACAAAGAGTTACTTAAAACAGCTTTCAAGCTGCTAAAATGAATTATCTTGATGTTTATGGAAGTAGCATTAATCATCTGGAACAAAAAGGTGGAATGTTTTCTTTTAATTTAATATAAAAGCTTTATTTTTCTGAGAAATACCTTTGATGTAAATTACAGATACTTTAAGGGTAAAACTGAACTCTCATCCTTTACGCCCCAAAATTAGCTTGGGAATGAAGATACCTATGTTTGGATAAATTGGTAGAGACAGGAAATTAGATTGAATTGGCCAGATCAGATGGGAGTTATTCTGTAATTAGATGCTTCTAACAGAACAGGACACCAAAGATGTTACTCATAAAGCTTTCTACTTTTTGTGAACTTTTCATCACTCTTTGTTGATTCAATAAATGTCAGGAGTTGATTGGTTTATTTATTTGATTCAGTATTGCTTAGAGCCTCACTGCACTTGCTTGCATATAAAGTTAGCATGAGGAAAGAAAGAGAATTAGTATGTAAACACTGAGTTCAAAAATGTTGAATGTTAAAGCTAGTGTTTTTTCTGAGGGTAGTCAGCAAAGTGGCTGGTTACTGACTTCTGCCTGGCTTGGAAGGTGATAAAAGGGTAGGTAGAGCCTGACCTGTTTGTAAAGGTACACATTATTCTCAAATAAAGCTGTTTAAGAAACAGCTATAGCATACTGTCCTCAGGTCAGGCTTCTTTTAAGTTAACACTTGTTTGCAGTCTGTTCCTCTGGGTGAAGTGTCTGGCAGGCGTTGTAACTTGAATGTACAATGACATCTTACGTGACCCGTACTGCGTGCCATTGTTTATATTACATTACTGCAACAAAAAGTCTTTCTTTTTCTCCTTTCTAATATAGATTGGGGGATGCTGCAGTCTTAATGTGTTTTCTGTACGTGACAACAGATTATCTCGAATTCCCTCTGAAATTTCACAAGCCACTGAACTCCATGTCCTGGATGTTGCTGGAAACAGGTAAGATTTTTGTGTCATGTTCTTTTGCTGGTTTTACATCATTCTTTCTGATGACAGACAACGTTCAGTCTAATAATGAAGTTGCAAAAAGACAATTATGACTGTAGTGTTAGCGTTACCGTTGAAAATGTCCAAGTAATCTTCCCATCTGGCACAAAGGAGCGTAAATCGTGTGTTTTAGTGTAAAGGTATTCTGGATTGCTTTCACTTAAGGAAAGGATAGGATTTAAAAACCCCTCTGGATCTGTATTTGTGAATTAAACCTGATAACCTAGACAATTTTGTAGAGCTTCAGCAGAAACTGCCTGCCTTAATGTGAAGTAACACTAATACTGAGTATCTTAGGGATATTAGCATGTGTGGCAAATAATGCAACTTTCGCTATGCTGCTTCTCATGAATCTTAGCTGATATGCTTCAGAAATCAAAGTGCAGAAGGGATCCGGTTGAAGCATAAACCAGCAAATAAATGCAGTTGCTTAGCAAGAACGTAAGTGAAAGAAAATAAATGAAAGACAAGTGGCACCTCATCTGTGCAATGTAATTACTTCATAAGCACTTCTGTTGTGGCAGTTGTGTATTTGAGGTTCCAGAGCAGGAGCAGCAATCTGCATCCCAGGGCATTTTACTACAGTAAAAAAAGCTCAGCATTATTTTAGCTTATTCATAGCTACAGGGAATTAAGCTGTGGGTTCTTTTTAAAAGAATAGAATAGTTCGAGTTGATGAATACTCTAATGCCTTGAATTAGAGGCATTAACCTCACTCCAGTTTGTTCCATCTCCAAGCTGTGTACTGAATAGATGCTCATGAAGTTGACTCATAAGTCTCCCAGAGGTTACCTTGACTTTTTCCTTTTTTTTTTTTAACTAGGCTGACGTATCTTCCCCTCTCACTGACCACCTTAAAGCTGAAGGCTTTGTGGTTGTCTGATAACCAGTCCCAACCTTTGCTGACGTTTCAGACTGACACAGACCCTGAAACAGGAGAAAAGATTTTAACATGTGTATTACTTCCTCAAATGCCTTCTGAGCCCGATTGCCAAGGTAAATGCTTGGAGTGAGTTTTTGATTACATATAGAAATACTTCTTTGTTTACTGTGTTTTCTGTTCTGTAAAGGTTTGTAAATCAGGCTTTTTGAAATCTGTGCGTCAGCTCTACTGAGCACAGTCCTGTTCAATTTTTACTTTTAATTATTTTTTGGTAATTGTGCTAGGTTTCAGAAGACTTGCAAACTTGATTGGGAATGTTAATGACAGTAAAATGCCAGCGGTTACAATATATGAAATACAGACCTGGAGGAGGATGGCTTAATTAGTTCTGAGGTTTGCCAGTGACCAAGTAATGGAGTCCATATTTGCATACATTGTATATGCATTTTAAATTGCACATATATACATGGTGAAAATGGTTGGTCTTCCTGCTACAGTCTCTTTGCCAGAAAAATAATTGAAATTGCCAGTAATAAGCAGTGGATGTTTTACTTCTTAGCGCCCTAAGTTTCTTTCAAGCTGATCCACTTTACAGTAATTTGTATTCTTCACCAAACATGAAGCATAGTTTTAAGTTGCATTTACACTTTGTGCTTGCCTCTTGGTCAAGTGGAACTGTAAACTCGTCTTCACTGTTTGCTGTTCCAGTGGCTTCTGGATGTTATTTGTCTTCCAAAATTTTATAGCGGTATGTGAACATTGAAGGGGATTTACCTGCACCAAATATTTAAACTCTTTCTGTAATCGTTGGAGAGTAATGTATCCTGTCTCAGAATCAACTTTTAGAATAAACCACATGGATTGCTCTCCACTGGGTACAAAGGGAGCCTGAGAAGAGCTGAGCTGTGTTATATCTGTGTTATGGGTGACTGTGCTTAGATGACGGTAATTCAGTCTTTCAGTACTGTGGAGCTGGAGCAAATAGGATCTGTTTTAACAGTTGAAGTGTGGAAATGGCTGTTGTGTGTGGATTTCAGGGTTTTATGGTAGTACAAATTACATTAAGAATTAAAATAAATAAATGAATCAACCTCTTTAGATTATGAGAAAATTAGTTACCTCTAGAGGAGTAATGGAGACAGAATGTCTCTCTAAAGGCTTGACTAGTAGAAAATCTCGCCTTCTCCAAAAATTTCTTCTTATGGCTTCAGGAATAGAAGACTTGGAATTAAGATTGTTGGACGCGTGCGTCTAGCAACAGTAAAAGGAAGGACTCGTAAAAAGTAATGATATTGTGATATGGAAGGCCATTTAGGTAACTGGCTAACAAGTAGCAAATCTAATCTGAAACACAAACATATAATGGCAAGTACATTAAGTTATGTATTCCGATTGTAAAACCATCACAAATGTGAAACAGTCCAAGTACAGAAATTTCTTGTTTATATGGAAACTACTTATTATGTGTACTTGATAAAAGAAAATTGATGCTAGTTCTGTTTTTTTGTCTAAAATACATACACAGACAGTTGCATATCTGGATTGGAAGTTGATTGGATATTGCAGTTATTGACGCTTGTAGCATGCTGATGTTTCAGACTTTCTGTGAATCTTCAGTTGTGTTGCTGTTCTAGCAGATAACCTGCCACGATGTGGTGCGTTGGAGAGTTTGGTAAATGAAATGTCAGATGAGACATGGAACGAACGGGCAGTGAACAGAGTCAGTGCAATTCGCTTCTTAGAAGATGAAAAAGATGAAGAGGATAATGAAATGGTATGTTTTCCAAGGCTTTGGACACCTGCAGGCACTGCCATCTTAACACGAAAGTGTGAAAAGGATCTGAGCTGTTTTGCTGTAAATGTTTCAGCTGTGACTGCATGCATTTTGGTCGTACTCATTGTAGAAACTGTTCATATTGACTGCTGAAACTTTTCATATTGACATGAAATGCTTCTTTTTTTTTTCCTCCTTTTTGTTTTGCTTTGAATATAAATTTAAGTTCTGATGCAGGGCAGTCTTTGTTTTGCTTTCTTTTCCTGTGTTTCCTCAGGATGCTTTCTCTCCAGCTTTCCAGAAACAAGATAGGATCTTCCTCTGCATCTGTGAAGCTTTACTGCCTGAAAGTATATAGAATCTAATTTAGGATTCCAGCACGCAGGCATGCGTCTCCGCTAAGTTTGCTACCCAGCTACATTGTTTCTCTCTCATTTCTATTTCTGGTCTCTCTCTGCATTTCTTCTTTTATTCTTTTCCACCATTTGCATTGAAATAACCTTACTGTCCATGAACAGCAAGGTTTATGCTCATTAGTTTCCCACTTAAACCAAGGATGTGGGAACATCTGTCACTGTACTTAAAGACCTCTCCATTAAGTTGGGCGCTGCATGTCCTGTAGATCAAAATGCAACTTAATCTTTAACTTTACTAACTTTTATTAACAAGTATAAATCTCTGTAAAGATTAAGAATGCTTCAATCAAATGTTTTGGCATGCTTCTTTAATGCTCTAAAAACTTGTTAGTTGTTCTCATTAGTGCTCAGCCTGACATACTTCAGAGCGCTATCCGGATTGTAGCATGCTATAAGCATGGTCTTTCTTTGGAAAGTGGCTCAAAAGATTCTTACTTGGTAGGGAAATGAACATTTAAGTTTCCAAATAAGATGCTTGCTTAGCCCAAGCAAGCCCAACCAATAAGAAAGTTCAGAATGATGCTTGTTAACAACTGTGTTACCTAAGAATGCCCCTACCGGGCTGGGTTCTTAATGATAGCTGTTTTCATTCATGGTATTGTGGACTGACATGAGGCAAGAACCTTTATAAGGAAAAAAGAGGCTTATGATCCTTTCTGGGGAGAGTGGTGATTTCTAAAGAAGTCTTGACCAATCTGCTTATTTATAGATGGGACATCAGTTCCCCTGTAGTTTACATGTCAGTGGCATGCATGTACTTAGTATGAATGATCCTGTGGGATTTTTTCAAAACCAGCTGGGTCATGATTTTTTGTTTTATTTTGAAATACAATCTTATATCACCTGGATATTTCTGAAAAAATAAAAAAATCCCAACTATACTTATGATAGAATCATTACTTCAGAAGTTGTAATTGCACTTCATTTGAGTGGCTTTCAGATGTGTAGGTCAAGAGGGGAAAACTTTTGCTCTTAAATAGTTCTTAAAACCTCTTTTATTTGTCTTCACAAACAAGCAGCTATGAAAATAACTTTCAAAAAAAAGCATAGTATTGTGAAAAGGACAAGGAGGGAAAATGAAGAAAAAAAGTCAATAGGTAGTATTTTGTATGTAAATGCTAAAGCCTTGAAAGCGTGTGTTGTTTTTCAGAGACAAAGGCAAAACCACTTATTGCACTGTTTATTTTTAGAGAACACTTCTAAGGCGAGCCACTCCACACCCTGGAGAATTAAAGAACATGAAAAAGACAGTGGAGAATTTACGGAATGATATGAATGCTGCTAAAGGACTGGATTCAAACAAAAACGAGGTCAATAATGCCATTGACAGAGTGACCACTTCTGTGTAGAATTTCATCTCCAGGTTTTACCTCCTGTGTCTTCCCCTGCTGTTGAAATGTTCCTGTCGTCTCCTGGGACCTCACTGAGCCCCCTTTTTGTTTTTAACCAGAGCCTGATTCATCGTCTCCATATATGTGAAAAGTACTACCCACTGGAAGGAAGTGCCTTATTTCATCCAGGCAGTGAATCAATCATTTCCAAATCAATATTGTAATTTTAATAGTACTATGGTTTTTTAAGTATAATACACTACTGTATGCAGAACACAATATTTTTGTCATAAACACAGGGGAAATAATGCTTTTCTTTTCCAGAGTGCTGGGATATCTTCTTCCCAGTGGCTGGACGTGCTGGTGAGAAATTTAGTTTTGTGGAAAATTGATACACTTTCTTGGTTTTTTGTTTTTGTTTTTGTTTTTTTTTAATTTTTTTGGCAGCTCAGATGGTGTAAATTTTAAAATTTTGTATAGAACTTTCGTAACAAAATGATGTATTTCATTTTTAAGAGAAAATTTATCTTGAGCGGTACATATTTTAGTATTTGTGGAAGAGAACAAGTTTCATGGACAACTGTATTCATTTGTCTGTACCACCCATTGTGCCTTATTGTGTCTCTATGTCATTCTAGTCTTAAAATAGCAGTTCTTGAGGAAAGTGAGTACATTTAAACTTGGTCTCCTGTTTTAGCTGTGTGTTTCTTTTCAGACAGTAATTTGTTGAGATTTTTACAAAATGGAATTTATGTTTATACCATGGGATTTTAGTTCACAAAGCACAAATGTTAGTTTTGTTATATATGGAATTAAGATTAAAATGACCCAACTGCTATTGTTTATTATGTTATGCACTCACACTTTAACTTAGTTGTAACGAAACAATTTGTTTTGGATGCAGTGTTGCATTGCAGTCACTAGAAATTCATGCTTTTTTTTTTTTTCCAAATGTGCCATCTGTAAAAATAACTTCAAAAGCAGCACGATAGACTTTCAGAAGCACAGTATAATTCTAGTTTTATGTATTACACAAGAAAGCATGATTCTTTTAAGTGCTTTGGTGGTTTTATACAAGTTTATAAAACCATAATAATAATAACAATAAAAAATCTTTAAAAGCTTCAATAGATTTATTGTATCATTAAAATAGCAATTAAAGTATGTATGGATCAATATTGGCATTTACCATGTTGCACTCTACAAATTGGCATTGTTACCATGTTGCACTTCCAGTGATCCAGTGGTGATTTCAAGGTCTGATTAAATCTGTGGGTTTGGTTTGTTTATAAAGGTAAGTGTGAACTGAGCTGAATTCAGTAAGTAACAATTTTGCAAAAGGATGATAAATATTGATTTTTGGTGTCTATGTGTTCTCTGTGTGCCATGAGCTAACAAGAGTCTCTAACTTGTTCAGCAAAGAGACTTGAGCAGTCTGAGTTCTGGGCAGAGATCTTGCAGTTTTAGTGTGACCTAATGCAATGAAATCAAATTTCAACAAAATGAAGGACATGATGCTTCTGCACATATAGCTAACCATATCTATTCTTCCACCTGCTGTTTATTCTAGTATGTATTGGTTGTACTAGAATTTTTGGGGAAAGAGGAAAATGAGTGAGCCATGATAGCTTCTATGTTAAAATTAATAACAATCTGCAGTATTTGATAGTTTTTGTAATTTTTTAAATTACTACTTGAGGCTTTTACAGATGGCATTCCTTTCTATTTTTAAATCAAACAAGTAGTATTGCAAACCATCTCCAAACACTCAAACCTAAACTGGCAAAATGACTCCTTCTAATCTTTAAGGCATAATCTCTTTGGAGGAGCTGCTATGGTTGGATAGGTGTTATGTTAATTCATGGATGGTGCAGCTGCATTCTTCCCAAGGCAGAGTTCTGGCAGTTGTTCTTGATAAGCTGCTATTAAAATAACATGAGAAAGAAAACGAGGTTTTGGTGTAGTCTGCACTAATTTTGTGTAGAATTTGTCTTTTAAAGTATTTACTGGGATTGGCAGAACCAAAAGTTTAAAAAAAAAAAATAATACTGGAAACTCTAACCATTAGAACCCAAGTAAAACTTAGCAAATCCTTGTGAATGAGGTGCAAATGAGTTCCTAAAAAAGACAGACCAAAGACAAAGGCAGAAAGATTACTTTATCTTTGATGACAGATATAGAGCACTATATGACAGATATAGCGTTTTTCATTTTTATCCTCGGTGTAGGAAGGCCCTTTAGAGAGATCTGGACAGTCTGGATCACTGGCCTTAGGCCACTGGAATGACATTCAACAAGACCATGTGCCATGTCCCTCACTTTTGACTCAACCACCACAGGAAACGCTACAGCTTGGGGCAGAGCGCCTGGAAGACTGTGTGGAAGAAATGGACCTGGTGGTGTTTGTTGATGCTCAGCTGAACATGAGCCAGCAGGTGGCCAAGAAGGCCAATGGCATCCTGGCTTTTGTCAGAAATAGTTTTGCCAGCAGAGGCAGGGAAGTGGTCATCCCTCTGTACTCAGCTCTGGTGAGGCTGTACCTTGAGTACTGTGTTCACTTGTAGGCCCCTCACCCCAAGAAGGACATAGAGGCTCTGGAGTGTGTCCAGAGAAGGGCAATGAAACTGTGAAGGGTCTGGAGCACAAGTCTTATGGGGAGCAGCTGAGGGAGCTGGGATTGTTTAGTCTGGAGAAGAAGAGGCTCAGGGGAGACCGCATTGCACTCTACAACTATTTTAAAAGAGTTTGTAACAAACTGGGTATTGGCCTCTTCTCCCACATAACTAGCAAAAGCACTACAGGGAATGGCCTCAAGTTGTGCCAGGAGAGATTTAGGTTAGATATTGGGATTTTTTTTTTTTTTTCTTTGTCTCTGAAGGAGTGGTCAGACAGTGAAACAGGCTGTCTGGGGAGGTGATGGAGTCACCATCCCAGGAGGTGTTCAAGAAATGTTTAGATTTTGTACTGAGGGACATGGAGAAGTATTGGTGTTAGGTGAATGGTTGAACTTGGATGATCTTGGAGGTCTTTTCCAACCTTACCTTGGTGATTATGAGATTCTGTGATTTACGGCATTTAAACCATGTACCTACTCCCCCTGATGAAGTGAGAATTATCCATAAACCTTGTAATAGCTTTATGATAGTTGCTTTGTCATTGTTTTATTTTTAAAAATGGGCTTTGAGTCCCTCTAAAGAGGTGGAGAAATGAGGCTTAACTTTTGTTCAGTCCTCAAGTGGTCAGGCAGCTGTACTAGATGATCTCTTGAAGGTTTCTTCCAACTGAACTATTCTATTCTGTTAGGTAATTGCTTTTTGCATGCTCTGGAAGGCTTGTGGAAACAGTTCTGCAACCCAAAAACTAGTTGGGAAGCAGGCAGTACTTGCTGTCTTAACTCTGATATGAAGTAATTGTCTTAGAGTCTTTTTACTTTTCTTTTGAGTAATGGGAGAAATATTTGTTTCAGTTTTTCTGCCATGTCAGCTAAAGGTAAAAGGACAGCAGTGAACGAGGGATCCAGACCTGTTGCTTTCATTTGGAATGGTTTCATGTAATTTCATCCTAGCCATCTAGAAGCTGGATGAGTAGTCTAGTCTCCCTGTGGTCACCCAAGCTGAAGATAGGTGATCTGAGTTGCTTATTGAAGGTGTTTCTTTTCTTCCATTGATTCGTTAAAGAACATAAAGTTAGCTCAAAATGTGATTCATCTAGAGATTATAGGAGCTGATGTCTACTTTGTGACGATCCTACTACTATTCCAAAAGGAGTGTCTTTTTTTTTTTTTTGATAGGTGGAAGAATGCATTCCCAGTCCAAACTGTAGCAAATGGCTACCTTCTCTTTGCACCAAACCTAAATGTTGGGTTCCCACTGGATTCATCATAAAAGGAGGGGTTGCATATCATTCTACCCATTGAACATGCTGGTAGCCCAGATGAGTGGATTCTTGTGATTTCTCAAATGGTTTGCATACATGACATTTTATAAAGAGTGTTAGGTACACTTGTACTCCCAAAGTGCTGATACAGTTCCATGCAATTTTAACCCTATTTTAGGCATAAAAACCTGGTGCTGAGAGAGTTTGAGAATCTGTCTTTGAAAACAGGAGCTTTCCCTTTCTAGGCTCTCTGTCTGGCCTTCTTTAGTCTTGCTGATGCTTTTGGGAGCCTGAATAGTGAACATATTTTTTAAGTTGTTTTTTTTTTTTCCCCCCCTCTTCAAAACTTCCTCTACTCTTTCAATTGCCTTGTAAGCCATTCTGGGAGGTGGTTTAATGCAAGGAAAGAAACACTCCATTATTTGCATGCAGCTATTAGCTAGATGGTTAACGAGGGAAAACCAATTGACCATAGTGGTGGAGTGGATTTAATATTAACCTGTTTTTATTGAAAGTTACAATTCCATAAGCTTAGAAAAGCAAAAGCAATAGTTGGTGTAGCAAGATTTTTCCATCCCCTTTTTCCATTTTCTTGCTGCAGATGTTTTTCACAGTTTCTATATAATTTATATGTCAAGATTATTTTTCTGGCTTGCATTCCATTTTTTTGATAAGCAGTGTGTGGTTGTGAAGTGGGTACTGGAAACTTGCATGTTGATGTTTTTTTCCTCAAGAAATTACTTGCTTGTGTTCAGGACAAGCTGATCAGACTGCTCCTTGTCTAACGGGGAGTGCTTTTACCTGTGCTGAGAGAACTATTTTTTGCTGTTTAGCTATTCAGCATGTTTCACTACTTGATGCTCATGAATTCAGCTTTTGAAAGGAAAGTAATGATACCAAGAACTAAATTTCTGTGAAGTATACTCTTTAGTATGTCAGTTGATATCGCCTGAATGTTGAATATATGGTTAGCTGTGAATCGTGTACCTCCCACTGAGACTGGTGTGCACTATTATAAGAAATATGTAGACCTCTTGTAAATGGAGATTTCACTGCCTTTCTTTGCCTTGCATCTGGGAAATAGCATTATTTTGATTATTTTCAGTTGGCTTGGTGAGAATGTTTCCCACCTTCTATTTCTGTCAAATGCACAAGTCTGTTTCTGTGCTTAGGTTACTGTCAGAGAAGATGAGAAAAGTGAATTGGCCTTGGTTATCAAATGTTTTGGGTGTTCCCTTCCTGCCAAGCCATTTATGACATTATCAGAGGGATATTGCCTTCCTCTTTTGTTCTGAATTCAGCGGAATACTCAGATTTCAACCAGTTTAATGAAAAATGTGAGGTTTCCAGAGTGGATATGCAGGCACTTGTTTTGAGGGCTGCTTTGCAGGAGCCGTCTTATCTGCTTTTCTGGTAGATGTTGGAGATGTGATGCATTTTATCACTAGAGTCAACAGCATGGCCAGCCTTGGAATCTGGAACAGCAGGATGCATAGGGGTACATGTGTCTTTGACTGAAA